CTAGGAGGGCAGTCCAGCTACGGAGCTGCCCCAGCCCTGTTGCGTGCCCAGGGGTGGCAGGACATACCACGGCTGGATGGTGCCTGGGCCAAGCAAGACTGAGGAACCTGCTGCAGGCCAGACAAAGACGCACCATGGGCCGGATCTGGCCCACAGGCTGTATTTTGCCCACCCCTGCTGTAATAGGATCAGAGCAGTTGTTCTGAAACTCCTTGTGGCAGCATTTTTGCTCAAATAGTTAATATAGTTTCAGTAAAGTAAAACTGCGGTTTTTAAAACCTTGCCTCAAAAGCAAATCCCAGACTGGCCATTTTCTAGGACAGATTTCATGGTGTTACAACACAAAGCCAAACAAATAGAAGCAACTTTACACGGATATTGGCTTTAACATCCCTTATAATTGAGAATCACAGCATATGAACAGCTCCATCACATAATGCCCTTGCCATTGGTTCCCTTCAGCCTTCTGGCCCATCATGCAGAAACTTCAGTCAAAATGACGTGACCAAGGTGTTGATGAGCCACCTTTTTAGAAGTGAAAATTCTTAACTGCTTAGCATGTTGAAAACAATTTTTTTTCTCCTCAAACTACCATCAGAAAAATTATTGAAAATATTGTGAAGAAGCCTGCATGTTGATCTGAGATTTATTACTGGAAGCTCTGGCAACATAGCTAATGCAAAATACCTCCATCACAGCAGCTCTGACCAGCTTTACTGTTTCCACATAGCCAAAGCTGGAGGCCCCAGGTTTTCACTCTCTTCCTGTTCTGTTGTCCTGACAAATCCACTGTCAAGCACACGTGGCCAAGGCCTGGTTTGGAAAGGCCCACGAGTGAACTTTGGACTCCTGAACTACTTTCCCTGCGAGTGTGCATGTGCAGTGGCCATTTGAGTTCTGGCGGGAAAGGTAGTGTGATTGACAGGTGTGTGAGGTGACAGGCCTGAGGTAGTAAAATGAGAAATGACAACTGTGGAGTGAAAGATTGTGACAGTTTGAATGAGTGGCAGGTCCTGTCACCAAGGAGACTAGAAATTCTGTACATGATTGGAGAATGAAATAATGAGTTACACCAAGTGCACGCTGATATAACAACACAGAAGTTGCTGTGGGGTGTGCTTGAGTCAGCAGTGCTTGATCTCTTGGCGCACGTGAGTGCACGCATGTCTGAATGGTGAGAGGTGTGAGCCTGCGTGAGCCTGCAAGCTCTAAGCTCCGAGGTCTAAGTCTACGCTGCTGCGCTGAGCTGAGCTGCTGTGTGCGTGGCAAATGGTTGGTTTCTGTGAAAATGAGTGCTAGATCCCTCCAGGGCCTGGCCAGCGTTGCAGTCAGACAGTGTCTGAACCATAGTTTGGGTCCTTGGGGCAAGGAACTGACCAGCAGAACAAAGTCTCCCAGCAGCTGAGGGCACCTGTGAGAGAGCCAGACTGTCATACTAGGGGTTCAAGACTTCAGTCATCAGCGAAGAGTAAAAGTGTAAAGTATAATCTTACATTGTTCTGTTTGTTGTTCCCATTTTGTTTATTTGTACTACTCTTACCCGACAGTTAATGTTTAATAAAACCAAATGAACCAAGTTGGACACCTTTTAGCTTGGCTAACCTTTAATCCAGCTGCCCACTACCTTTCCAGCACGTTATTAATACAACTAGTGAATTGCCCGTCAATGACAGAACACCGCGGACCAACAGCCACCGCTTCCCAGGAGCAGGGGAAGGGAGGGAGGGAGGGAAGCTTGCACGCAGTGGCCATTGCTGCCACCCCCCACTCCGCGTCCAGCCTCATGCCACCTCCCTTCCCCCCCAGCAGGCGGCAGTAGGTGGCCACTGCCACCTACCCCTGCTTCATGTCTGGCCCCCCTGTGCATCTGGGCCCATCCTACAGCCGTGTGCGTGCACACGCACACACACCACTCTGATTGGTTGTTTCAGTAAGCATTGTGAGTGGCCGCCAAGACAACAATCAGAGTGCTCCAAGACTGTTAGACAGAGAGAGACAAAGCCTATATATAGGCTATATCACAGCCGCTGTGATAATAATATATAGGAAAGCTAATAAGGCTAAGTTTAGCAAACTTGGTTTGTTGCACAAAAGCCCTTGGTGAATGCATTAATTCTGTATATCTATATAGATATCTATACATCAAAGGCTTTTGTGGAACAAACCAAGTTTGCTAAACTCAGCTTTATTAGCTTTCTATAAATTATCATAGTGGCTACAATGCAAGAGCCTGTAAACAGGCTGTAGGTAAGATAACAGTGCAGTGATAACTTGTCAACTAGTTGCATCTGTGGAACTGCTCAGTTCTCAATTTCTAACAGAGCCAAAGTCCAACTGTCAGAAAGAACACACATAAATCTGTATGTCTGATAGCTTGTGGGTAAAAATATAATTTTTAACAAGGGACCAGAAAGGTACTTGATTAATGCATTTTGCACTAGACACACTAGGACCTTCACTGTGGCCAGAATACTTGTGTCCCTTCCTTCTTACCTTACCTACGTATCAGTTTAAGTACTCTCCAGTCACAGTGCAAATCCTAAAAGTACATTCCCCCCGGAAGTAAAAAGCGCTACCAAAGAAGGTTAAATTTAAAGTGAAAATGTATTCCAGGAACCTGCAGCTTTAGGGAACTAAGGCTTCTCTTAGTCCCTTCTGAATAGCTTGAACATAAGGGATAGGGACATTCAAGGGTTTCACTGAAGCTGTAACTCAAAATAGTATCCAGGTTCTGGACAGCATATAAATGTATGCTTACACACTTATATACTTGTCCTGATGAGGCTTAAATAAGGTTGAAATGGCTACATGGCTGAATAATACTGTGATACTCAAGACTGTTACCTTTTGAGATGTGCCTTCAAGTTAGAGGTGTGTGTGCACACGTGTATGCTCATTCATCACACCTACCTCCCCCACACATACATTCCATTGCTCAAAAATCAAGTTAGATAAGCATTGTATCTCTCCATCAAACCCAAACTAGGAACAAAGAAAGGAGACTGGGACACTCTATTAACTATAAAACTTTAGATGCAAATGAAATCTGTTCCATTTGCAAAGCACTATCTGTATGTGATGGTGGGCAAAATAGAAGCTAAGCTGGAGCAAGTGGGTGCATATACATGAGACACTGACTGCACAATAGCTAAATAATACTGTGCAGTAGTGCGTCACAGTACAGACAGTGCTAATATGCTACTGCACAGTATTATTAGGCTACTGTGCAGTAATTGGAGTTACTGCACATTTATTTAGTCCTGCTAATATAAGGGCTAAATAAACACACAGTAATGTCTCATGTAGACACACCCACAGTGATGAAGTACTATTTCACTATCCCTCTTAACTAGAAGGAATCTAGCAACAGATTTTCTATGTACATACTGCACTACCTGTCCAGAGGCCCATCCCCCCCAATCTCAACTCAGACCAGTGTTATCTTAAATCATTCAGATAGCAGGAATAGCTTTGCTGTGGTTTTATAAAGATTCACAGACATATTTCAGACAATGCACTTTCCTGCATCATTTATTGATCATGATAGTGGGAGGAAAACACAAAGTGAATAAAGTTAACCACAAACTTTAAGTAAATGGTGCCTTAACACTTAGATCTTTAAAATAACTTTCTGTCCCAAAAAAGTTCAACTTAAACCCATAAAAACCACAGGACATATATTAAAAAAATTAGGAGTACATTACTTTGTGTGTCTAATTCTTTTGCAGGCTTTGGCACTATTTGTTCAATGGACAAAATACACTAAAGAATGTAAAAATATTTATTTAACCTAATTCAATGTTTGAATATGATTCTCAATACTAAAACCAAGATTTTACAACATGGTAACCAAACATAACAGCTCTCTGCCATTCAGTCTAAATCATTTTTATAAATTTTCCAGTATTTTGTAACCATATAATGTACAATAGCTTCAGTTTTTCATAGAAGACAATTAGCTTCCACATGGAACAAAACCACTTATTTGCATTGTTGGATTTTGCATGACACTTTAAAAAACAGTAATAAAGTGGTCGGAAATATATACAATGAAAACCACTGAAAAACTTTCTTTGCACTGAGGAATTCTGTAAGAAACATATTATATTGTTTCAAGACTATCTTACAGAAAAACAGCACCTTTCAGAGGCTGCTGCTGTGTACGTAAATGTATATAAAAAGTCAGCCTACTCTAAGACCAATGTAATCAGCAGACTTGAAAGATTATAGTATTTTTTTCAATTATATCAAGAATCTGAAAGTATCAGTTATGCACATATAATTTTCATTAACTGTAGTCCTGAAATACCAACTGGGTATTATATACACTTTTTATACATTTCTAAAATATTACATCTCAATATTTAAGGTAATATTCTATAGAAAAGTTACCATATTTTGAGTGTCACTAACATACATTATTGCAATCAAATATGAAGTCCACTTTATAGTTGCTTCATTTCTAGTGAAAAGCAACATTTACTTACCAATACTTTCACTAAAAGAAACTTTTACCTTCATGCATTTGACATACTATTGTGAACACAGAAATAATAGATAATGACAACTTTAAGAAGCAGAACTTAATCATTCAATTGTTATGCATCGAGAATTGTAATAACTAAATCCAGAACAAGTCTTGTATGGATATTAAATGGCTACATTTTGTCTGTCAAAATTACCACTTAAAGTACTAGTATCCATTGAAAAGTGTGGACTTATGAAAAAAGTGGAGTAATTAGAGTTAAATGCCAATGTTTCTCTCTAATAGGCCAGTAGAAACTTTTTTTTTTTTTTTTTTTTTTTTTTTAAGAGACACCT